GTTCGTCTCGTTAACTTAGCGAACGAGCTGTTCGCGAGCAACGAGCCGTTTTGACAACCCTAATTTGAGGAAACTTATATATGTATATATGTTGTATTAGAGTTTGATTTTTTAGTTTTTGCTTTGTTTTGTCGTGGCATAGCCATCGACATCTCCTTACCCTCTACAGGTTGTATCCTAGGGTTCCAAGTGGTTTTTCGGCTGTATCTTGGTCTCCAGGTGGTGTTTTTTTTCCTATATCATTCTCTGTTCTTTCCTGCATCAACTCCCTTTCCTCGCTGCTTTCCCCTTGCTATTGCCACCCAAATAACAGTAAACCTGCTATTTTTTCCATGTTTTTCTTGCTACCGCCACCCTAAACAACACATCCAAAGCTATTCTTGCTGCTCGTCACCTCCCCTTTTCAGTCTGATAGCCGATCCACTTGCCATCCTCCTTGAGTTCCAAAATCCTAGTTGACACTACTTGCACCCTAGAATCAACGCTAGTTCTGGAGTCGTGTTTTTGTTATGTTGCAATTTCAGATTTCAACTGTTGTTTGTTGTAATTCCTGATTTGAATTCAACAATAATATTTGTTTTTCCCTTGAATGTTTGTTAAAGTCCAATATCATTTGATTTTAGAGCTAGCCTAACTCTAGTTCTATCCTAGGGTTACCAAAATCCACCAATAACTAACCCAAACTTCACTCCAGCCACCCAAAATTTCTTTTCCGACCTTGGATTAGGTTCATGCAATATCTTTCATCTCCTAGACCTAAACCCTAACTATGCCATCCAGGAGACAAGTGATGAAAGACGTTCAAGAAATCATCATGTAAGAGCTGCAGTGGGAAATCTGCCGACTTCAGTAAAGACTTACTAAAATGAGGAAGACATTTAGAAATCATCACTGAATGTGATAGTAACAGTCGAAAAGGAGTGGGAGAAAAATATGAATCCCTTCTTTAGGTATGATTCCAGTGAAGAGAAAGATAGGCCACAATGTGTTAGGATTTAATATCAGAGGAGGCCGAAGGATTGAGTGACTTTTGGAGGATTGAGAGACCTGGGGTGAATATAGACTTACCGGTTTTCAAGAGGTTAATGATTTCAGATAACTTCATCGAGTGGTTGCAGATGGTTGAGAGGATTTTTGAGTATAAGGATGTGTTGGCTGATAGGAGAGTGAAGCTTGTTACCATAAAAGTGAAGAAGTGTGCTTCTTTGTGGTGAAAGAATCTGAAGAGAGTAAGACAGAGATAAGGTAGGAATAAGGTCACAACTTGGGATAAAATGAATAAGAAAATGCAGACAAAGTATCTACCCCCACATAAGGCTGTAAATAAGTCAATAACTCGATGAATAACTCGATCATGTTCGTTCAAATTAGTAAATAAACAAGCTTAAACTATTTTTAAAAGCTCGAAGCTTAAATGAACTGAACATGAACATAGTCGAACTATTTCGTTTATGTTCACGAACAAACTCATTTATCGTTCAACAAGTAACTTATTAAATATTGGATATTAAGCTCGATAATTAGTCGTATTATATATATGATATATTATTTAAATAAAATTTAATTAGTTAGTATTTATTTAATTATAAATTTAATAGTAATATGTTATCATATTAATAATATTTTTATTGTAATTATTAATTAAATATTTATTTTATTAATAAGTAAATTTTTATTTAGAATAAAATATTTACAGTTAAAGAAAGTGTCATAAAAGATTTTCTTGTAGAGTTTTCATAACCTTAAATGTAATGGGTTCTTTTTTTGTGACCATGACATTGCAATTGCCAGCAACATTAATATGGATTGTCTTATTGCTATTATTTCTTTATTAATATGATTAAGTAAATGATCATCCTATAATTTTTTGGATCAATTTTGTTCTTCTACTTACAAAATTTGAACTAGTGGTCCTATTAATAAGAATTATGTAGCTAATTATTAATATTCAAAGAATTTTGAGTTCATAATCGACAAATTAGTAGCTTCAATTAGCATTAAAAAATATTTATTAAATTTTTTTATATGAAAATCTAGATTGTTGTTTGAATTTTTAGCTCATTTATTAGCTCGTTTAAATACTTGTTCACTTGTCATAAACAAATCAAGTTCAAACATTGAAAAAGTTAAACAAATCAAACTTGAACAATGTATTAAAGCTCGACACAAGCTCAAGTCAAACATGAACAACTTATATTTATACAAATTCAAGTTCGAACAATGATATACTCGGCTCGACTCAATTACAGCTCTACGCCCACTCCCACATTACCGCCAAGATATGTTCTTGATGCTACATGACTTACATTAGGGGGAGTAGTTAGTGGAGGAGTTCAATGGAGTTTGAGCAGCTTATACTGAAATGTGAGTTGAGAGAGCCAGAGGAGAACACCGTAGCAGTTATTTGGGAGGCCTAAAGTAAAAAAATTAGCCCCGTCATTCAGCTGCAGCTTTACTATTCATTGAATGATGTTCAAGCATTGGCCCTGAAGGTGGAGAAATAACAAAAGCATAGCAGGACACCACCTTCATTCAGACAGTCATCTACAATAGTTGCCAGTTAGAGTAAACTTGAGGAAGGTGTGAAAATTGTCCAGAAAGATGATAGAGTTGATCCGACTGAGAAGAAGTCCGAGAGGAGCAGTCCCAACACAATGCCTGCAAGAAAGTGTTTCAGATGTCATGAGCTTAGACACATCGCCTGAAGTTGACCTATTGCCAGAGTTGTCTCTTTTATGGAGCAAAGAGTAGTAGAAGTGGATAGTGATACTGGAGACACAAAATATAGTGAGGATGTGTAGGAGTATCTACTTTCAACTGAAGAGGGCGAAATGCTTGTGGTTCGATGGTTCATTCAGACCAAGGCTACTAGAGAGTAGCAGTGGCTTCGCCATAACATCTTTTATGTCTGTTGCACGGTGAAGGGAAATGTGTGCAACCATATCATTGATGGAGTTAGTTGTTAGAATGTGTCTATATAGTTGACAGACAAGTTTTGTCTCAGTATTCAGAGACATGCCTAGCTATATTCCTTGACTTGGTTGACGAAGGTGAACAGGGTTAGCATTGATAGAAGATGTCATCAGTTGCATGGCCAAGTGTGGTGTGATATTGGACCCATGGATGCTTGTTACATTTTGTTGGTGAAACCGTGATATTTTGATCACAAGACTCAACATGACGAGTTCAAGCACACTTATTCATCAAGGATGGAAATTGCATAGTTCTTCTGCCTTCTACGGAGTTCTAGGTTTAGGTACTATTGTCATGAGAAGGGCGCCAATGGGATTACTTTTGTTGATGTTAGAGGGTAGTGAGACAGATGAGCCGATATCAAAAACATGGCAGCCATTACAGAGAGAGCGTCAGAATATCTTGATCGACAACTTACCGCCAAGGCTGCCACCATTAATGAAGTTTCAACCTGTCTTCACCTCAGAGAGGAATGAGCCAAGCTTGAGCTACTTTTGGTGAACTTTCTGGAGAACGTTTGACACAGTTTTAGTTCAGTTTAACAATGTACCCACAGATTGTTGGATAGATAGAGATGACTACTCATACTTTTGGAAACCTTTTAAGGTGTTTTGTGGGATAGCGTATCCAATAGTGGGATCTTGGTGCTTCTAGAGACTTTGTCGAAAGTTCTCTAATCTCGGGAGATTATGGCATCTTCGCCACCTTCAACTTGGTTGGCTTCATGCAATATCTTTAGGAATTAGAAACTTCGACAGATGAGGTCGAAGCTCCACCAATTCCAAGAAAATGATGCAGCAATCGTATTTCCTACGTTACTGCAATCCCATGGTATCAGGGAGCCGATTGCGGGACTCCCAAGCCGAAGGGTTCCTATGCTATTTTCTTTTTATTTTTTTCAAATTTTCTTCTTTTGATTATTCCTTTATGATTATTACCTATTTATCTAGTTTCTAATTAGGTATTTATCTTAAGGAGACTTATATATATGTTATTCTAGGGTTTGATTTTCAGTTTTTGCTGTGTTTCATCTCGGGACAGCCATCGGTGTCTCTTTTCCCTCTACCGGTTGTATTAGGGTTCCAAGTGGTGCTCCGGTTGTATCTTGGTCTTCAGGTAGTGTTTTTTTTTCTTATAATGTTCCCCATCCTTTCTTGCATCGACTCACTTCGCCCTCGCTGCTTGCCCCTTGTTGCCACCACCCAGAAAACGGCAGACCTGCTATTTTCCCCCTATTTTCTTTGCTTCCTCCACTTTGACAGCTCCTCCAAAGCTGTTCTTGCTGTTCGCCACCTCTCCTTTGCTGCTAACGCATTCTCTCATTGTTGCCGCCCCTTTCCAACCAACTACCTCCACCATAGAATCAACCCTAGTTTGGGCGCATTTTGTTGTTTTCCTGTAATTTCAGATTTGAATTCAGTAATAATATTTGCTTTCCCTTTGAATGTTTGTTAAAGTTTGGTACCACTTTTATTTCACCTTGAATGCATTGTATGCATTGATTAGTCTGATGATGGATCCACTTGGTATATGGTGTTTATACTATGCTATTCACATTGTTGGTACTATGCGAATGAAAATTCTCTTCTAAGCACCAACCGTGACATCATTTCAATCACAAGCTTTTAAATAGATAAGGTCTACCAAATGTAGCAGCGAACACTGTTTTGTATAATGCTTATTTTAGAAGCAGTTTGGAGATGTTAAGCAGCACATGTCTTGATGTTATAGTATATGATGTACCATATGCATATTTGATCATCCTAAGGAAACTAAATTTTTCATAGTCAGATTTCCTTACACTTTCAGCCTTTCCAACTCGAGACATTTAACAAGCGGTAAAAAGAAAAGAGTCAGGATGTGTGTACATGGAATAACTTATTGCAAACACTTGCTGACTTGTAGCTGATAGCATCTTCATCCACTAGTTTGACTACACTGGCAACCATTATATATTTGGCTTGATCCGAGTCAATTTTTGAGTGCACTCCTTTTTTTCTGATGCTTATTATTGTTGCTTCCCTCAGGTTTTGAAATTGAATGATGGCGGTACATTGTCCTCATATCTTGTTGTTGATTCAATGGGCAACTTCTCTCCATTGGTGAAACAGGCAAGCTTCTCAATTTGCTTACTTTTGATAAGCATATATGATTTTCAAATAACTAAGGAAGTTGAAGTCCCATGACCGACCATACTTATATATTAACGTCTAATCATGTTAATATTTTATTGATTATTAAGTAGACAAAATAAATTGTAGCATTAAACCAATTCTTGTCTTATAATTTTATTAAGCTTTATTGTTGCATGGACATCTTTAAATGGAATGGTCTATGCATGTTTTGGTGTCAAAAGTACTGAAGCATTAGAGCTATAACAATATTCGTGAAAGTAAAGTATTACTGATATATGAATATCTCAAAAGTCATATATTGGCATTAGCTTTTGATAAGAATAGCATGTTTGTGCTACTTGGTCTCAGGTGATCCAAACTGTTACCATTGTAATTTTAATTTTTTCTTACCCAGTTTTAGATAGGTTTTGTTCATATGCATTTAGATAATTGCAATGCTTTTTAATTTTATATTATTTAGCGATTTTTAACATCTCAAACTGTAACTCTACTTCTAGATAAGATCAGCCCGAAAACCTGATGGCATATGCCTTGTGGTAGGTTCGTGCAGCCGTGGTTTTTATGACAACTCGTCAAGTGATATTATATTCAGCAATTTTTCAGCGAAAAGATTTAACAATATGGAATTACAGTACTTTTGGGAGGTGAACAACATTCCTTTTCCATGAGTTCCATATCCCGAAAAAATGCTTTAAATAAACTCATGAATTTTGAAACATAATAATGTGACATTTTTTTTTGGAAAATCCATGCTCAAACTTTAGTTCCATAATCAAAACTTATATTATTTTTTTGTAAATTCTTTTTCCTGAAACATTTTCTATGATGCCATGAAGAAATTTTCTAGCTTTCCTTTACATTTTATTGTATGATATTTTACAGGCATTTCCTGCTGGCTCTGGCCCTACGGATAGAACTACTTACATGTTCACTTACGTTGATGCAAAACCAGGTGCACCAAAGTTGGAAGAGTTGTTAGAGGATTATTGGGATCTATTGCCACAATATCAGGTTCGTTTTCATGGTGCGACTCCACTTCTAAGTCCGAAACTTGCATTTGTGTCATTGATGTGCTATTTTGGGGAACCTAGTTTAGTGGTTCTAAAATTGAATCCATCTTCGCATATGGCTTGTGTGAGTAACTTGTCTGCACTTTATCCAATACAAAATGTTTGGTCAACTTACGCTACTGTGTAGATGAATTCTTGAAAGTACCACAAATTATCCATCTTCTTTTAAAATTAATTTTTCTTTGTAGATGAATTGTGGATATTTTGGTAACTAGGATATTTCTTTATGCTAACTTTTTTGGTTAATTGCTTTTCTTTTCGAAGTTGGGCACCCTAGCGCTTTTAGGGGCGTCACAGCGCCAACCAATATGGTTGCCCAACCGCCCAGTAAACCGAGCACTGGGAATTCTAGTGCTTTGGATGGGCACAACTATGTTGCGGGTTGCCATTTTTAGGTTCGAAAACAGAACATGCGGAATTTCGACGCTCGAGACAGGCAATTCGACAGTCAGAAGAAATACTTCATACAGAGTGCGTAGAAAGGCACACCTGGGAGTAGCGCTCCTGCGCTAGGAGCTCTCGTCCGATTGGGTTTTAAGTTTTCGACTGCTATACGAGGAAGGTATCTCTTGGCAGTGCGTGTAACACGAGTGTGACAGAGAGAGCGGTGCAGCGAGTTTTGCGTTGGATTTCCTTAGATTGCTCTTGTGCAATCGAGAGAGGAAGAACATTCTTGAGTTCCAGGCTTGTAGAGAAGAACTCTGACTGTAGTGTAATTTGTACATTTCTCCTACGTTCATCGTAGAATTTTTTGGTGTAGTATAGCTCCATGTTTTTTTCTCGTTCTCGGATTTTCCATGTCAAATCTTATGTGTTTTCTAGGATTTTTTATGTTGTGTTCTTTTTCAATTTTTTTTTGTTTCAGATCTCTCAAATCGGTGTATTTTTCTGCGGTGTGATTTGATTGTGACTTGATCGAATTCGATTTTTCTGTCCCAACAAGTTGCATCAAAGCGAGGTTTTCTGAAGATCTTTAATTTGAGTGAGCAATGATTAACGAAGCGAGGTACAAGATGGAGAAGTTGAATGGCTCGAACTTTGTATTCTGGAAAAGGTGAGTTGAAGATTTACTATATCAAGAGAAATTGTATATGCCATTGGAAGGAATTAGGAAATAGCCATAATCTATAATTCAGGAGGAATGGGAAGTGCTTGATTGAACAAAATTGTGTTTGATCCGTTTTTCGTTTTTATCATATATTGCTTTCAACATTGTAAATGAGAAAACTACAGTGGATCTTATGGCGTGATACTAGAGTTAACCCAAACCACGAAGCAAGACACAAATTTATTAATAACTTGAACAAAAATTATAACGACGACTCAAAAGAAAGAAAGACACCGCACAAATCAAAATATTAAGAAAAACATTACAACTAAGATTCGACGCATAAAGACACAACATGCTCGACGAGGAGTAGGGGTGTAAACGAGCCGAACACGAACGAGTCATGACTCGTTTATATTTCGAGCTCAAAAAATGTGTTCGTGTTCGACTCATTTGCTCAACGAGCCGAACATGAGCTATTCACGAACAAAGAGTCCTTTTAACTACCCTAATCATGTAGTCATAAGACAATAAGAGTTTGGGTTTAAGCAAGATTTAAAAATTATTATTTATATTAAAACATCATTTGAATCTAATTTAATAATTTTTATTCTATTTTCTTAATCAATATTTTAGTTGATTATAAATCTTTGTAGTCTTGTAATCAATTAATTAATTAATTAATTAATTAATTATATATATACATCTTAGTTCGTGTTGGCTCGTTGAAATTAAAGAGTGGTGCCAGAGCGGTAGCTGTGGTGAAGACCGGAACGGTGTCGGGTGAAAGTAGGTCTGCGCACGTCGAGGCGTCGAACCACAATCAGGAGAAGAGGCGGGAACGTTGTCGAAGACTAGAATCCGGGGGCGGCGGGAAAGACAGCTGAAGTCGAGGAATGGAGGCACGGATGACGACAAAAGCTGAGCAGCGAAGGCACGGATAGCAATCGAAGCCAAGTAGCGGAGGAACGGATGGCAACTGAAGCCAAGGAGCGAAGGCACAAATGACTGTCGAAACTGAGGAGCGGAGGCACGGGCGGCGTAAGACTGCAGAAGGCTGGGGAGGAGCTGGGAGGACCTGATGGGGACTGCTACCTGCTGTGAGGGAGGTGATAGAGGCTGCAGAATGCAGGTGGGGGCGTGCTGCAGCATTGGGAGGCGCTGGGAGGACCTCAAGGAGCTTGCAGTCTGCTGGGGAACAGAGGATGGGGGGGTAGAGGAGCTGTCGGTTGGATGGCTAGATGGGCAGCAGGTGGGCTACGCCTGCCTGTAGGGGAGCTACAGGTGCACCGGCACTGGTCTAGAAGGCAAATAGGCGGTGTTTGCATGCAAGGAAGCTCCTGGGGAGAGCTACCAGAGTGTATGGAGGTGAAACAAAGGTGGGGCGGCTGCAAACCTGCAGGGAAGCTGCAAGGGCCTGGCGGAAAGCCGAGGGAACAACAAGGTCTCTTGCAGCAGTGGGTTGGCAGGGAGTTGGCTGGCTGTGCTGGAGAGAGACTGGAACTAAGGCGCGCTGCGGGACTGCGTGTCGGAATCGGGACATCAAAGATAAACACTACTTCAGACAGGGTTACGTCCGGAGCACCTTCACCGTCGGCGGATACAACCCTCGAAAGGGAAAATGTTCAGACAAAAATAAACTCAGATTTCAAAACAAGGACCCTCTACACTAGACACTTCAACTCCTATTTGTAAAAGACTTGACCCTAATTTAGGAAACATTTTAATTAAGAAAGAAGAACAATAAAAAATCAAGATCTTAGATTTTAAGAAAGGTTTAACTTAGCGAAGGAGAATAAAATCAGGATTTAAGTTTTAGGAAAGGATTTAAATTAGGAAACGGCTTTAGGAAGGAAAATAGGAAGAGAAAAGAAAGGAAAGAGGAAGGAAGGGAGAAAAAAGAAAGGAAAGTGGAGGAGGGAGGGAGCGGTGTCCCCCCTTCCGAGAGGATTGACCGGTCCAGCTGGGCTGGAACCGCGCCCAGCCGGTCCACCAGGAGTCCTGCGTCATGACGACTCTGATAAGGATGTATGAGAAGCCCTCAAGTTCAAATAAGGTTTTTTTGATGAATAGATTATACAATATGATGATGGGGGAAGGGAGTATGGTGGTTGAACTTTGAATAATTTCAGCATTGTGAAAAACCAATTGTGTTATGTGGGCATCAACTTCAATTATAAGGTCAGTGCACTGTTAATTCTATCTTCATTGTCAGGCTGATGAGATGGACTCGTTATAGTGGTGAGTAACTCAGTTAATATGAATGAAGAAGTTCACAAGAAGGTGAGTAGTAAAATTTCAAATTTTGCATTGAATATTGAGAACAAAGGAATGAATCTGGATAGGAACAAGCATAGACAGATTGAAGTCCAGTAGAAAAAAAGTCTAGGTCAGGGTGAATTTTAGAACTATGGGAAGAGAGATTACTAGAAAAAAAGTCTAGGTCAGGGTGAATTTTAGAACTGTGGGAAGAGAGATTAAGAATAATTGTAAAGCTCCGAACAAGGCTTATAGTGGAGGTCAAGATAAAAATCTTTCTACAAATATCTCCACATGAGAAATTCAAGGTGCTCCCTAATTTTATCCCTAGATAATATTGAATATTGGATAGAATATTTTGGTGCCTCTTTTCATGCTTTCCATAATAAAGAGGTGTTTAAAACTATACTTACATTGATATAGAGAATGGTATTTAGGAGATAACAAGACTTGCAGTATTGTAGGAAAGGGTGATGTTGATATCATATTTGCTAAATTAAACAGTCCAGAAGCTCAGTGAAGTTAGACATGTTTCAAGTTTGAAGATAAATTTGATCTCTGTGAGCCGGTTTGCAAAGTCATGACACGAGTTTCAAGACTAGTTTGGTTTTGTTCTGCTATGATCGTAGGAATCTTGGCTTCCTGCTGCGATATCGTGTCTCATGTCCACAGACATCTTGTGTCAGGTTTTGCTTCTTAAACCCTTCATTTAGTGACACAATTTTACTATGATGAATTTAAGCTACCCAACCCTAAATGTTCTTAAAGACAGATTTTTTAATACCAAGCAATATGATATTGATATATGCTTAAATAGTTCCTAATAATAGATAATTATCTTATAAGTTCTTACTGATTTTCATTTATAGTGGCGTGTGATAGTTTTATGTTTGTTTGCAATCTCCTTTCTACCTCATGGGGCTTTAAATTTCCTTGAATGATTTGAGATGAACATCCATGGTCTATTAAGTATATTTAATATTAATGTTTGTAATATAATTACTGTGATTTTGTTCCAGTTCATTTTGCATGTTGAAGTACGCTCTTCATGAGTATCTTTCACACTAATTCCAAATCACAAATTTTGTTGATAATAAGCATTTAAATTTTTTTTTCTTATGGATAACTCAGTGACCAATTTCTATAACTCATGTTGACTGACAAATCATTTTGCAGGGAATTGCTATTGACAATTTAGAAGTTCTCAGAGTTGTATTTGGTATCTTCCCTACTTTTCGTGACAGGTTAGAACTAATATTTTTTAATTGTAACATTTCCATGTCCGGACTACAAATTATGTACATTAAGATATTTTATCAGGAAATATTTTTATATTTTATTATTGGAATTTCTCTATCAGCTATGGAGTGATCGTTTTTGTCATCTCAAGGCGAGCTTTCTACTGTGAAAAATTCACTTGGCATTATTTGAGTGTCGTATCTTATTTTTTAGGAAAAAAATAAATAGCATCGATGAAATACTACCTACTCTCATTTATGAATTTTATATTCTTGATTCAAGTCTTCTTATGAGAGTAAACGTGTTTTTATTCTTATGAGAGAAAACCTATTTTTAATAATGTGTCGTGATTATAAAAAGATCTATGTTATAGTTGTTTATCGAGCACTTAGATAAATTTTATGCTGGAATGAATTGCCATATGATTTAACCTAGTACAATACTTTAGAGTGGCGCCATTCTCATGCTCCGAGGAATTAATGAGGGAAATTGCGACAAACCCAATCAAATTTCTATGTATCCATCGATTTGGATTTCTTGTCATAGTCAGAGAGCAACATATTTCTACCCTTGACTTAATGGTCATTGTTAGTAACCATGAGTTATCTTATTTGAAAGGGACCTCTAAAACCAAGGGTAAAAAAACTTGCCAAGCAGACCAAGTTCACATTTTATAGGGTTCCATGGCTAGCAGATGCATTTTACGACATTATGACTTGGAGATATATCCATTGCAGAACATGTGATTGTAGGGTTCTCATGCTCCTAGAAGGCATTTGGGACAGGTGGTTGTGAAATAGTGAGAGAATGTTAATATGTATAGTCGACGCTGTTGGAAAAGGTCACGGGGATAAATCTGCTATTGGAACAGCAGGTTCGACATCGTTGACAGCAATCCCAGATTCACAACTAAGGGAACTCCAAATCAACGATGTTAGGGTGGCAAGGAGGGTCCACCACCTGTTTCTTAGTAAGATACATGCACACTACTTACAAAAGGAAATGAAAGAACACTCCTAAGAGCATAAAATAAAGAATCACGTTTCTGATACGACAAAACCAAAAGTTCCCTAAATTAGTAAAATAATAACATATAAATAGTTTCTTAAAAGCAAATAACCTAACTAGAAAATAGAGAAATAGTAAAGAACTAAAAAAGAAAGAAAATAGAAGGTAACTTGCTGCTATCAGCCAACTTTTTTATTTTTGAAAATTGAAAATAATTTTGAAATTTAATTTAAAATAAGAAGTATATAATTTGGGTTTTGAAAGTAGTGTTTAATTTTTGAAAAAATGTGATCGAATGAATCTCATTCGTCCAATAGTTTTCATAATTGTGTCTGATATCATGAATACTACACATTTTCGGAATGTCAGTGTATATCTAGGCGATGAACCCAATCCTGCAAACTAAGAGATTTATGACATTTATTTGGTCTGTGAACCTTTTATGTGTGACCGACAAGTTCTCCTATTTAATATAAAGATTAAATAGGGTTTGTTTTTACCTGGGTTTCAAATTCCCTATAGAGGCAAACCCCTATAATTAATTACATCCCAAATGACGGAGGTCGCTTGAGAAAACTCTCGATAATGATCAGAGGTACTAGTCTTCAAGAATTTAAAGTTTAGATTTTCATGGTAGGACGTGGAAAGAGAAGTGAGAGTGACTCAAATAGGAATAGTTATTTTCAGGAGTCCAAAGGAAGAAAAATGTAGGGATGTCACAGATCCTGAGAAGAAACCTCAGTGACTTCTCAAACTATCCTAATGTGTGGCTGAGTTTTAGAGATGATGTTATTTAGGTGTTTACTCCTGTCAATTTTACTATTTGGGACTTACATGTTTCTGATTATGCAAATAGCCTACAGAGATATGAGGGTTTACGTCGTACCATACAACAACCTCGGAACTTAAAACGAGTTAGGACTTACGCTGCACAATAGGGTTGCACAGGAGCCTGAAGAGTGTGTGAGGATTTACGTTGTGCTGAGCTACCTCGAAATTCTATGTGTTATTAATTAGACTAAGGAGAGAGAGATTGCTGAAGAATATCCTCTTGTTGCTCAATCCAAGCTCCTTGTCGTGCTGCCCATAAAATTGTCTCCAAGCTTATCGTCGAAGTAGCAGTCCTAAAGTCTAAGGTTCAAAAGATTTTACCATATTTGTTTAAGTGGCAAGTTTTTGTTTTGTTGTCATTATGGGGGGTTCTCCAAGCTCCTCGTCGAAGTAGCAGTCCTAAAGTCTAAGGTTCAAAATGTTGTACCATGTGTGTTTCAAGGTTTTGGTTTTGTTGTCATTATGGGGAGGTTAGAGTTGATTAGAGCGATACCGATTAGAATCCCACGGTTCCCTCGTTCCAGTATCACTATTTTATTTTGAATTTACTTAGTCTAAATAAGTTGTGAAACCCGTCTAAATTGGGGAGATCTCGTTAGTAACCGTGAGTTACCTCCTCCGAGTGACTCCCGTAAATTCAAAAGTACGTGCTATGTTTTTGTTTTTGTTGTTTTTGTTTTGAAAATGCTGTTTAATTTTTTAAAACCGTTTTGTTTTGAAAATGAAATCACAATCAGTACCTGCATAATGTGTTAGAGCAAGAGTAAATTACAATGATAAAACAACAACAAATAAAATGTACATGTACGTTACATATCTGTTGCTGCTACCCCTGTTGAATATTTAGCTCGCAAAGTATAATATAATTTGCAGGGAACTTAAATAATTTGCAGAGAAAAGAAGAAAAAAAGTAAGCAGCAGAATAAATCGTAACAACAGCTAGAAACTCCAAACAGGTGATCCCAAGGTTCCGAACAGCACTCCCTAGCACCAAACAACAGCTTTAAGCTTCTAAACAACAATTCCTAGCACCAAACAGCCATCCTAATCGTCCGAACAACACCAAACAACCATCCAATGCGTTCGAACAACACCAAACAACCATCCTAAGCTTCCGAACAGCACCGAACAACCATCCTAAGCTTCAGAACAACACCAAACAGCAATCCTAAGCTCTCACCGTCTCTAAACAGCCATCCTAAGTTCTCAACGGCTCCAAACAGCCATTTTACACTTCCAAATAGCAACCTATAGCTCTCAACGACTCCAAACAGCCATGTTACACTTTCAAACAGCAACTTGGACATTTCCTACAGCTTCCAACAGCGATCGACAACCTCAAACAACACTTATACAACCATTTTTTAGCCCAAAAAGCACTAAACAACAGCCTACAGCACTTGTAAGCTTTCAAACAGCACTTCCTAGCACTTTCCCAGCTCAAAACAGCATTAAACGACAATCCTAAGCTTCCTAAACAGCTCTCTTAGCGCGTCCAAGACAACATTTTAATCTTTCCGAAACAGTGAACATGCAGCCATAAAAATGGTTATTAAATCCTAAAGAAGCAAAGATGTGCTTCTCATTAAGCAATGGAAACACTTCTTATGTAGAATTAAGGGTTTGATCTTCCTTAAAAAAAAAAAAATTCAGGTAGGCAAGCTCATTTAATAAACATAAGGCTCTTTATGATTTTGACAAGAAAAGATCCCATAGTGACGGAAGATTTCAATCGTTACCAATTTTTTAATCATGCTTAGTTGCTTATCACACTATAATGATATTCTCAACCTACCACTATCGTTTAACTTATAGATAATTACAGAACTTCATATTAGAGTAGAGAATAAATTAGAATCAACCGTTGTGAGATAGTGCTGTGAGTCAAAGAAAATTAAATGACTTTGAAATGATTCTTAAAGTGCAGATGAGAGAACATAGGGTGCCAAAGTAGAATATAAAAAGAGTTACGAAAGATTTACTAGCATACCACTCAGCTCCGATGTAGTTACATATCTAACATCTAGACTTCAAATTGGACATCAATACCACCTTTCAAGCGTGTCCAACAAAAGGGAGCTGCCAGAAATCAAATCCCGCTTCAAGGCACAACTAGCAGCCTCTCAACAAAATAAGTGGGACGAACGGGTTGTTCGACCGCGGGAGAGAGGAGTAGAGCCAAACGACTATTCGATTGCGCGAGAAAGAGAGGAGGCAGAGGGCTTCGGTGCAGGAGGCGTCGAACAGGGCTCCTGGTCACACGAGAGAAAAGGAACGGGGGGCTTCTGTCGCGTGAGAGAAGAGCGAGTGAGGGGCCGAACTTTGTCGGGAGCGGGGAAGAGGAGTTGGAGTTGTCGGTGCAGAGGGAGGCCAGGTCGAGCGGTCTTCGGTTTGTCTGGGAGAAGGATGCGAGGTTGAATGAGAGCGAGCAGTGCAGAGGGTGGCAAGGTCGAGAGGGGCCGAACTTTGTCGGGAGCGGGGAAGAGGAGTTCGCGATGTAGAGGGAGGCGAGGTCGAGCGGTCTTCGGTTTGTCTGGGAGAAGGATGCGGGGTTGAACTAGGGCGAGCGGTGAAGAGGGTGGCGAGGTCGAGTGAGCCCGTGCGGTTTTCGGTTTGTCCGGGAGAAGGATGCGAGGTTGAACGAGGGCGAGCGGTGCAGAGGGTGGCGAGGTCGAGTGAGCCCGAGCGGTCTTCGGTTTGTCTTGGAGAAGGATGCGAGGTTGAGCGGTCGAGAGAGCCTGGAGAAGGATCAAATCGAGAGAGAGAGAGAGGGGAGCCAGCCGTGAATGGTGTCGAATGCCTGAAAGAAGAGGGCATCGAATTGTATAGCCGAAGTTTCAATGGAGCAATTGGCGGGGGATTAATTCGTTTTCATTGGCAAGAGGAGACTTAATTGGAAAAAAAAGTTAATCCTTAATTATATCCAATTATTGTGGGATTAAATGATATATTTGAAATTTGAAATTTGTGAGCTAGTGATTATCCCGAATGGTGTCGCTTGCTCATCATGTGAGTTTTGACTTTAACATTGATTTTGATGCCCTTGACAGGCTTGTGGTTGAGAGAAGATGGGTGCAACTTTGAGCATGGATTAGTCATTTGTTATTGTTTCTATTTATTTAATTTTTTGGTGGGGACTTGGGCTTGAGCAGATCTGGTTTATATA